TTAAGCACATAGGTTAAACTGAAGGTTTCTTCTTTGTAAAAGTTGTGAAATTGTTTTCGCAATTTTAGTAAGGTCATATCCCAGCTTCCTGTATTCTTTCATTTAAAGGGCAGTGAAAGCACAGAGGGAACAATTCTGCCTGTTGGAAAATGAATCAGAAAACTTCTCAGAGGAAGCTGATCCCTAAAGAATAAGCAGAAATCCCTTCACAGAAAGAGGTGTTGTGATGGGTGAGGGGGCATTCTAGGCCAATGGACTAACCGGTGCAAAAGCAACGATGAGACTAAACGGTGTATATGGGAAATAACAGTGTAGATAGTTTAAGGTAAGAAGTGGCAAGGGAGACTAGACTAGCAAAAAGTGTTTCAAGACAGATTGAGAAGGGCTGTGAATGCCATGCTTAAGGGTTAAATTTTATTCTATAGGGTAGTCATCTAATTTACTTAAAAGAGTTGTATGACCAGGTTTATATTTACAAATATTTCTGGCAGGAAAACAAGGGATGAATATGAACAAGGGAGTGGAAATAAAGAGATCAGATAGGATGGTTGCTCTTCTCTAATCTGGATGAGGAATATTAAGGATTTGTACCAGGTAGGAGGAATCATGTAGTCACTACTATCATCCCATATAAGAAAATATCCTAGAGAAAGCAGTCCATTAAAATAGAATCACTGAGGGTTTCCCAACTCTGATTGCTCATTAGGAACACTTGGAGGAGGTTTTTTTTAAAAAAATAATACTCAGGTCTTACTCCTAAGTAAATCAGAGTCACTAGAGTGATTAGAATTAGTATTAGAATTTGTTAAAAGTTCTAGGTGATCCTTATGTGTAAACAGGGTTGAAAACCTCCAGCACAACTCACAATGAGGAGTCTAAGGAACACATAGTTTTGAGTATGGCTGTCCTAATTATGTCATCCTGGGGTTTTGAGAAAGCTAATCAATGTATATTAGTTGTTGATCATACTTCAAACAGTAAAATGACACCTGAAAAATGACCCTGCAACTTACAAAAGTTATTTAGATGCCAATGCTAATTTAAAAAGAAATATGTATTTGCAGAAGAATCAAAGAAATTCATACTCCTGTTATAAAGTAGGTCAAGCCATACCTTGGTCTAGATCAGAAAAGAGCAATGATAATTCATAAGTTTATATCTACTTTATAAAATCCCTATAAAATATTTAATATAAGTATACTAGAATGTAAAATGTGTGCCAGATACCTGATATTTTTGTTTATTTAATAATAAGCATTGCAATCACAACATATAAAGTGGTAAAAGAGACTCAAAAGGTTTTTTTTCAAAATGTTTTTTAATTGGAGTACAACAGTGAAGCAGTTAAGGACACAAATTTTGAAGCCAGATAGACCTTGATTTTGAATCCAGGTTTTGTCACTTAGTAATTGCAGGTTTAAACAAGCAATCTCACTTGTTCAAGATATAGTTTCCTTGTCTGTGCAGTGGTGATAATAGGAACTACATCACAGGATTGTTTTAGAGTTACACTTGAAAATGCACCTAAATAAAGTCTTTAACAAAGTAGCTGACATTTCTATGTATGAGTCTTGGCTTCTGCACTCAAGGAACTAACATTAGATGAGGAAATTCAATAGGGCATGAAAAACTGCCTACATAAGGCACTATGTTATAAATAATTTAATAGTTAAATTTTGACTATTATTATTGAAAGGTTATCAGGGACTCAAAGATTCCACAGGAGGCAAGGAACAGGCTTAGAAAAAAAGCAGAAACCCAAGGAACTGCAGGAGGCACAACCGTCTTTTGGCAAGGATAGTCTGGGCATTGCTATCTTAGGATACCAGGCAGGAATGAATTCTAACCACATGTTTGGGGACACGGTTCCCTCCAACAAGACTTCCCACAATGGAAAGACCTTCTGCATCAAATAAAGAAAGTGCTACTGGATGCAGGACAGCCAGAAAACAAAAAACAAAACAAAAGAAAACAAAACAAAACATCCATCCTGAACACTAGCAGGCATTGTACTGAACACTACCAGTCATTGAGGGCTTTAGGTAAAGTGCCTCACTAATCTTCATAACCATTATATAAGGAAAATACTCTCATTACTACATCTATTTTACAGATGGGGAAACCAAGTCTCAGAGAAATTAATTTGCCCAAGGTCACACAACCCGCAAGTGCTAAAAAAGAAATTCAAATACAGAAAGTTTGATTCTACAGGCTAGGAACTAGCCTATTATAGATACTATAGGTACTACTAAAGCCTACTATAGGAACTATAGCTACTAGTTCCTCCAAGAGGAGGGAAAAACCCCACCATATCTGGCTAGATCAGGGAAGACATTATCAAGGAGTAGTTTTGAGCTGAATAGACTATTCATCCATCCATCCATCCATCCATCCATCCATCCATCCATCCATCCAAGTATTTAGTATTTTACCTATCATAAGAAGTAGGCAGATAAAAATGTTTTACATAAGTACTAAATATTTATTGGAAGAAAAAATAGAAAATACAGTTAAGGAATAGGTAGAAAATTAAAATGTCCACATTTTTGCAACCGAAGGATAACCAAGAGTAATATTTTGGTGATTAGTATTCTTCATTAAATATCTAGAATTTTTTCTTACAAAATTAGAACCATATTATTTTAGTAACTTGCTTTTTCCACCCAACAATATATAGTGAATATCTTCCTAAGTCCATAAGACCACCTTTACAACATTGGCTCTTAAATTGTATGGTCTCAGACACTACAACTGGTGACTCCAGGGGCGCCTGGATGGCTCAGTTAGTTAAGTGTCTGACTCTTCAATTCAGGTCATGACCTCATCGTTCGTGGAATTGAACCCTGTGTTGGGCTCTGTGCTGACAGCAAGGAGCCTACTTGGGATTCTCTCTCCTCCCTCTCTGCCCCTCCCCCATTGTCAAAAATAAACATTAAAAAAAATAACGATTATCAACCCAATACATGTTAACATAAATAATATTTTTTAATGAAAAAGAAGTTTTCTAGAAGAAAAAATTACTGAAAGATATGGCAATGTTTTACATTTTTGAAAGTCTCTTTAATAAAGGGCAGCTGGATTCTCATAGTTGCTTCTGTGTTCAATCTATCGTGATACATTATTTTGGTTGAAGTATATGAAAAAAAATCTGGCCTCACACAGATGCATAGTTGGAAAGGAGAAGAGTATTTCAATGGCATTTTCATATAATTGTGGATATCCTTTGAAACCACAGCAAAACTGGGAAAATGGTAAATTAAAAAAAAAACAATTCAATGTGGAATGTAAAACCATATCAATTAAATTTTTGTACTCCGTAACATTAAATTCTATTGGTCTATTTAGCAATGTGAATGGATCTTTCACCCATTCTTTATAATACCCTGTGTTTGATATTTACAAGATTTTGGTTCAATGAGTTATACAGATCTTCCAAATGTCAATAAATTCCATTACACATTGTCAAAAAAATCACGCATGTTAATATCACCAATTTCATTGGGACTTTGTCAAACTCGCAGTGGCAGATCTGTTTTCCACAGAATGTTCCCTTGAAATCTCTACTAGTGAAATCGACAACAAAAATTGCTAACTGTTTTCCTTGAAGAGAAAAGCTTACTTATTCATATTTGAGAAAATGCCTGCCAAATATCTAAGTACCCGGGTACCTGTTACTTGTTAAGTTAATGTGGTATTCCTTGTAAAAACTGGCTGGTTGACTTAGCAACTCAAGTGCTTCTCCTCAAGTCAACTATCATACTTTTGAACACAACAGAAAAGGTTTATGTGTGCTTCCCATTTCATCATACAGAATACTTAAAAGGGTTGAGATTTTGTACCATTTTTACTGCTCCATCAAGGACATTGGGAAACAGATTCTCCCCTCCCCACACTTTTTTTTTTTTTTTTACTGCAAGAGCATGGTAGTCAAATTACTTCTAGATCACTTTGGTGACTTGAATTTGGTGCCACTGCTTTTTATTTTGTGCTAAGAGGCCAACAGTTTCACCCACCATTGCTTCTGCATCAGTTAGTACAAATATCACATGGCTTATAAAAAAAGAAGCACAAAACTTCTTTGTTATTACTATAGAAGTTACTATAAAAGTTTTCACCCCATCAGCTTCCTAAATTTGGGGAATTCCCAGGGAGTCTGTAGACCACATTTTGAGAATCAATGTTCTACAACACTTTTAATGGCTGCAGAGAATTACATTGTATGGAGTGACCAAAGTTTATTTAGCCAATGTCCTTTATTAAGAGCACCTGAGTTGTTTCTAATTTTTCTCCATTACCAGTAATGATGCAGTTTAAACTTCACTTGCATCCTGAATTAGATCTTTAGGATATGGCCTTAAAAATGGAATCACTGGACCAAAGAGCATGCATTTAAGAAAAACTGGCTTCTGAACGTTGCTTTCTGTAGGCTTACTAATACACTTGTTTTTTATGTAACAATGAGTATCCTTCCAGCTTACCAACATGGTGGTTATCTTTAAGAAAAAACAGAAACAGACCAACTTCACATCCAATAAATGGAATCCCATTTTGTTTAATTTGCATTTATTTGCTTGTTAGGTTTTTTCATCTTTATACAAAATTAGTGAGTTGCATATTTATGTATTTTGCCTATTTTTGTATTGAAATAGTCTTCTTTGGGATTTTATCTGTTTGTCTGTCATGAATGTTGCAGGCTTTTCTTCCCAGTTTTTGTTTACTTTTTAACTTTGTGTAATTTATTTTTATATGTAAGTTTTAAATTTTGATTAAATTACCTATCAGTCTTTTTATATTTTCTGCCTTTGGTGTCATGCTTTAAAAAGCCTCCTCTGTCCTAATATACAAATATTTACGTTTTGTTTTTTACTTTTTTTTTTTTTTAGTAAACTTCAATTCATTAAGAATTATTTTGATATATATGATTTGAGGTAAAGATATGACTTAGCCTTTTCCCCAATAGTTAGCTTTTAATTCCTTCCAGCATGTTAGCTTTATCATTATTTTTCCCTTTGTTAAAACCTTATATTAAATCGTTAATTTGTAAACAATTTAAAACAATACAGATGAAGTTAAAGTAGCTCTTGACTAAGTTCCTATCCTCAGAGCTATTATTAGTTCTTTCCTTTCAGGCTTTTCCCCTTGCATTTAAACGCACATAAGCACAAATATGTAGTTTACGGCAACTTGGGTTCCCCCCCACCCCCCACTTCGCTTAACTCATCTTTATCTTTCCACAAGAATCTACTTTGTTCTTTTTAACACCAACGTATGGTATTCCCTAACGCGGATGACCAGGTTTATTTTGTCCTCCCTCTATGGCTATACGACTACAAGGTTTCAATTTTTCGTTATTTCTTCACCCACCTCTCCCCAAAGCGGATGCGGCTTTAGCTTTCTTGTGCGCATGTGCAAGTGTCCATGGGCTACATTCCTAAACATGGAATAGATTTGAGTACTTTCTTATTTTGTGGGTTCTGGGGAGCCACTGCGGGTACGGAGGGAGACAAACACACTCAGACCAACAACCTGGATAGAAAGAGACCTAGAACAGGTTCTCAGCCCCCCACAGTTTTCTTACTTTCAAAATGGACGCTGAATTTATTTTTTACCTCGTAGACGCAACAGTTCCCAGCATCGGAACCAGATGCAAAACTATTCAGAGGCCAGGCACTACGACTAAGAAATTAGGAGAAGAAAAACCTCCAGCCCTAAGGTCCGTGACGCTTGCTTCCGGGAAGCGGACCGGAAGCCACGCCTCGATTCTGCGTCAAACCTGACTTCAGGGGCCGTCGTAAAAGTGTCGCCCGCCCCGTGTTTCTTGGACCGGCCACAGGTTTCCGCTCGTCTTCGGCCGGGGGTCTGGAACTGCGGGTGTCAGTTTCCCTCAAGATGGCGGACGAGGAGGCTGGGGGTGCGGAGAGGATGGAAGTCAGCACGGAGTTGCCCCAGACCCCTCAGCTCCTGGCATCTGTAAGTCCTTGTAGGCAAGTTCCTTTTGTCCCCCCCCCAGTCCCTCCATACCGCGCTCAGGAGGATGTCGGGCTTCGCCCCTTATGGCGGCTCTGGGGAGGGGGAGTCGTATGGATTGATCTGGAAGGAAGCCATGGAATAAAAGTTAGTCATTACCCACATTCTTGCCTGCCAAGTCTACGGAGTATTATGACTTTGTCATTTATTAGTCGTGACGAGTTCAAGCATGTCTCTATCCTGAAGTAGAAATAACTGGTGATGCTATTAGATGCTCTGGTATGGGGGCTAAGACGGGATTGGAGGAAAAGCCATTTGCCGATGGACGCAGTGCCACCTTCTCTTGATGACAGAAATGCAGGACGCTGCACCTAATGTTATATTTCACAGCTGGCTGGGTGGGGCCTGGTAATGGCAGGGAATGCTGTCAACTCATGTCAAGATACGGGGTGTAGGAACTGTAGTCCCTCATTCTAGTATCTTGAGAACCCCAGGCCTAACCCTCAGTGGAGGAACCCGTCATCTGTCTGTTCTTTCTAAAGGTGAAGAAGAAACTTCCAGACTTTTCAATTCAGAGCACACCATTAATTAATTTCGGAATCCATATTTTGCCCTTGTATTTTGCCCTCACTGTCTCTGAGCAAATTTGAGTTAATAGTCTGCCTACAGGGAGAAAGCAGATGAGGAGGATAGGAGATAGGTAACTATTAGGGAATATTCTGGATGTCCTCGAACATCTAGTGGGGAGCTAAACAGGGAATAACCAAATATTGATCGCTGCATGATGTTAAGAGTTTTATCACTTTGTCTTTATTGCTGCACATAGAAAAGTGTAGGATATATACCTCTTTAAAAGGTCTTTGGTTTGTAGTTTTAATAAAAACATTTTTTGGACTATTTTAATCATGCAGACACTTAAGCATTGTTGTTTGAGAGAATTAAGTGAGCTCCAGAAATAAGAATCCACCGGAAGGACTGGGGTGACTGGCTGGGAGATAGAAACCAGGTAGGGAGGGAGTTGGAATAGGAGTTTGGCGACCAACTAGAGCAGTGCTTGCAACCATCCTCCACCTCAAATAGCAGTTCAACCTCACTTCACTGCTGGTGTTGAAGGAGGAAGCATCTCTTTGAGATGATAAGAAATGAGAAGGTAGGAAAAATTGAGAAGCAGCTGAAACATCTGGTCTTAATGGTAGCTTGTGCTTTTTTACCTCTTAGAAGGAGTATAGAAACTGTGGACACAAGTGTTACTGTAATTTTGTATTGCCAAATGTTTTGCCAATGCTTTGATACACTAATTCTTCCAGTGGTATAGTAAAACCTCCTCAATCCAGACTCCACTTATTTGTAATTGGAGATTAGTACAGGAATCAAGCTAGAGTTACTTTGCAAATTCTGTACTTGAAGAAATACTAGATTTCTTGGGGGCAAGACTTTGGGTTTTGCAAAGCAGTAGGTAGATGCCAAGACAAGTGTAATAGCCTGAGGGAACTCACAGTTTAGTGACACAGATCAGACAAGTGTTCAAAGAATTTTAATACAAGACAGGGTGATCTAAGAGGGTCATCCTATCTGGATGAAGACCAGGTATCTTTTTCCTTTCCTTTTCTTTTTAAAGCTACCGTCTTCATTTTATTCTGACAGTAGAGTGAGATACTGGTCTTCCAGTTTACTATTTCTTTGCTGTTAAATGAAAGAAGCCCAGAAATTCTTTAACATTTGAATCATTTTGCATTATAAACTACCATTGGGAGGCAAGGAAAACAAAAATAGTAAGTATGGGACAATTATAAGGTTTTAGAAATCTTACCAATTCCATTAGTCTTGTCCTTGGTTATACTTTGTTTTCTTTAAAAACAGCAACAACAACAAACAACAACAACAAAAAACCCCCAAACTTTCTTCTTAAACTCTAGATCATTTCTCTGTCCTATTGCTATCAAAAGCGTGGAGGCTCTCAAATTCCTAATATCACCTAACATGCAATTAAGGTGAAATAATAGGTATGAATTATGGGGCATTTATAAAAGCCATTGCTTAAGAATCATTAAAGGAATTGATTTTTTAGGTCTGGGGTGGGGAATTTTCACAGCATACCCTCCTGATTCTGAAATCCTGGTCTGTGGGCCAGTCACACTTTGAGTAAGACTTAGCTAGATGTGTGGAGATTGTCAGTATAGAGTTGACAGTTGAGATTGTGGGAAATGGAGATCTTTGAAGAGGAAAGTGTCTGTGTGTGTTTGTGTGTACTTGTGCATATACACAGAGACAGACATGGAGGGAGAGAGGGAAAGGAGGGAAAAGGACTGGGGACAGGAATGATTGAATTTCAGGGATAGAAGATGGAGGAAGAACCAGAGAAAGATGTAAAAAGGGAACAACCAAGTAGGTAGGAGGTGAGAGTAGCATGGTGTCATAGGGTATAGTTTCTAGGAGAGGGTGGTTTATTGGGTTCAGAAGATAAGGACTGTGAAAAACTGGGAATTCAGAGAGTTGGTGGGATGGTCTAACAGAAATTCTGCCTTCTGTCATCTTTGACTGGATTTTCTTTCTTAAGTCCATCTCAGATGTCTTCTAGCATGGTACTACCCTCTTTTCTTTCCCCTGTCTACACACTCAGCCTATGTGATTTTGTCCAGTTCTGTGGCTTTAAATACCATCGGTATGTGTTCAGTTCCCAAATTTATATCTCTAGGTCATCTCACTTCTGAGCTCCAGAATCACAAACCCAACTAACTGCCTACTTGATATATCCACTTGGATGTCTGGTAAGTGTTTCAGACAGGGGGAGCAATTATGAAGCTACTGCTGTAACCCAAGCCTTAGCTGATGGTGGCATGTAGTAGAGAGAGAGATCGCTGAAGATAAAGAGAAGTAGATAGATTTGAGAGAGACTTTAGAAGTATGGTAGAAACAAAAAGATTTGCTTATGGATATTAGGCCTGAGGATAAAAGGGAAGAAACAAATGATGTCTGGATCCTCAGTTTTTGGTTTAAGCATTCATGGCTGTGGCTGTGTCATATTCTGAGAGAAAGGACCAGGTTTGGGGAGGGGATAGGAGGGAGGCCAATCAAGAATTTTGTTCTCCCTGTCTCATGACACTTCCGTAATAGCTCTTGAACACAAACAACTCTCTCTGTCTCCACTCCACCTCTCTAGTCCTATCACCATCTGTTGCCTAGGCAACTGCAGTGGCCTCTTAACTGATCTCTTTGCTTCCATTTCTGCCCTCTTCCAGTCTATTCTGCACAGATCAGCCAGAGTAATCTTTTTAGGACTAAATCAGATCATGTCAGTATTCTGCCTAAATCCTTCAATGGCTTCCCATTTTATTTGGAATAAAATGTGAACTCATTACAAGTTTTTCAGGATCATGTGTGATCTGGCCCCTACATCTTCCCCTCATTTCCTGTTATTTCTCCTCATTCACTATTAGCCTCCCTGGGCTTTTAGTTTCTAAATCAAGCACAAGATCTATCTTGCTTCAGGGCCTGTGCTTTGCTTTTGTTGCTTACTGTTCTTTTTTCCTGGAGTGTTTTTCCTCTGTTTCTTCTTGATATTTACCAAGTCTAAAAGATAGGTTCCTCTTAACCCTTGTCTCTCAAACCACCCTGTTTATTTCCTTACTGAACTTCCTATGATTTGCAATTAGTATGTTTCTTTATTTACTTATTTAAATATCTATCACTCCTATCTGAATGTAAGCTCCATGAAGGCAAGGATTATGTGTGACTTGTTCACTGATATATCCCAGTATGTGCTTGAAATAGCAGACGTTTACATATTCTTAATGAATAACTGAGGATCAGCATCAGTGATTTGTTTTAACAAGATTGGTAGTGATTGGGGAGGGAGGTTGTGGATGGAGGATGGGGAGAGAAATGAGGGGGCTTATTGGGGTGGTAGCTAATGTTAAAGTTTAGGCTGAATGTGGCAGGGAGAAGAGGGTGTAAGAAATGCCAAAGTAGGAATTCTGGGGGAATTGGTGGTATTTGAGGTATTAAAAGTTACGATGTTGACATAAATGGAAGAACTGAACATTGTGCTCAGTAAGGGGTTTTGGAGTTTGAGAACATGGAGGTACATCAGGTTTTGTGATGGTTGAGCCAGGTTAGCTGAACCTCTGTGTGTTCCTAGGGCACACTTTTCATACTTCTGTTGCATGCAGCATGTCTCAGGCTGTCCTCAGCATTGCCTGTTCAGTGTCTGTGTTTCCCTCTAGACCATAAACTCCTTGAGAGCATGAACTGTTTCTTGTTCACATCTGTATCTCCAGTACTAACACATTGCTTCAAAATTTTTATTGATGCATGCATGAATGAATGAATGAATGAATGAGAAGACATTAACTGAGGTGGAGCAGAGGTAGAGATAATAAGAGTTGAGGAGGTTAAGAGATAATGAGGCTAAAAGGTTTAAAATTGAAAGGGAAATTTTTATTTCATTTTAATTTTTTTTTGAAAGGGGAATTTTTTAAATTAACATTGAGATATCCTTTATGTACAATAAAGTGCTTCCATTGTAAGCATTTAGGTTGATGAGGCTTAACAAATGTACACACATGTGTAACTATTACTAAATTGGGATATAGAACATTTCCATTGCTCCCAAAATTATAGTGTCCCCAAATGGGGGGGATTTTAGTTTTTTGGGTTTTTTTTTTTACATCTAATATTGTTATGTTTGTATAATAATCAGTATGAAAATCAAGGAAAAAATTATCCACAATCTCAAATGTGTGCTGAATCTTTAATAACAATTTTTTTTTTTGATAGTTGACTTTAAAATACTGAG